TAGATGTAAAGCCCGTGATATATGACGAGCCAATTGCTCTCATATCGTCGGCATTAAGAGATGAGTGTAACTCCGATTCACAACATCTCAATAACAACACAAATGATAGCCAAGAATCTCATAATTTTGACACATCGGGCGTACAATCCATTGCCGGCACGAGTCGTTCAAATCACTTTGGATTCAAAGGTAAACAAGTATTTCTATATATTTTAAAATATCATTCATTAACATTAGACTTGTTATACCATTATTTAAATTATGATTCTATTTAATCGATTCATTTAAAGACAATAATTTTAATATTGTGTTAATCATCTTAACAATAATATTAATTGATTCATCTAATTTTACACAAACTTTATATATAATATAACAGTAATACTGTAGTTAATGACACACATAAACATTTTAATGATGAGTTTGTTAACAAGAAAGGCATATTGAGTTGTGGACATAGTTGTGATAAGCAGTTGAATCGATTGTTGCAAAATATGTCAGACATTATAATGTTTTGCATATAAGAACTTATATCTCATGAATTAATAGGACTTTTTTAGTGAAAAATGTTTGGATATGTGATTGACTGATAAAGTGAGAAGACGTGTGTATTAAATATGTGATTGACTGGACTTTTATTGACATTTCAGACAAACGTAGATCAAAGTCGGCGAAGAAAGGGCTGCTCTCAAGACTGGGATCTCAATCGATGTTTCACATGCGTCAGCAGCGGTTCCACTGCCATATATGCCATCAGGGATTCACTGCTAAACGCAATTTGCAGAGACATATGCAGATTCATAACTATTATAGAAATAAGTTTGAGTGCGAGTTATGTCACCGACAGTTCTCTTGGAAACACACACTTAATATTCACAGAGAAAAAGCACATAATATTAACCCATAGCCAAACATTACCACACAATTCATTCAATTTGATTACATTACATAATATTATTATTAATTTGTATTTTCACTCATTTTTCACATCATTATAAGTTGTAATTCACTGACAAATTATTTTCTCATTTACTTTCATTCATAACTCGTTTGTTTTCTTATTGAATCGAATTAACCAAAGAGTTGTTTCTTTTCTATTATTAGTATTAATATTGTATTTATTTGATTATAATTAATAAGATTAATAGATAATTCTGTAAC